AATTTCAGCTCCACTGTCTATATATTTCACTTCCGTCATTATTCTTATGTTATCAAAACATGCTGATGCATGTATAAATACGACAGTTCGTTTTTATGGGAGGAGTCTGACTGGTTTCTCTGACATTTGAAACATTTGATAAATTATGCGCATCTACATGTGAATAACGTGAAAGCCAGAATGAAAAGTGATAGTAAGTAGGAGGTGAGATAAAAAGGGTGGGTTGTTGGCAAGAAGCTATCAAAAATGTCTCAAAGCAGTGGAGCCCTTAATCAGCAAGGCCACAAAACCAGCTTGTGAGAGGGTTCAAAACTGCTACAAGTTTTAACTATTTCAGGTGGATGAAATGTTAAAAAAATAACCTGTTTCAGAGGAAACAATGTTATTTTGTACATGACTGAAACAGGAAAGAGGGGTGTAATTTGTCTTGGATGGACGTTTTTAAGGAGGGTTGGTAGGAGGTTTGAGATTAGGTTTGGAAGGAAACAGGGCGAACACATATAGTGTGTTCTCTGTTGTCAAGTTTCATTCTGACCCATTATTGTCTCGTCCAATTCTAGCCAAGTTGGGTGTGTGTTCACAGGCAAAATGTTCTTTATTAACATTTTGCCTCCATATTCATGACGGGCATGAATATGGGGGAGAATGTGGGAATATGAGCTGCCCACGAGTTGTGGTCAATGCCCCCATGAAGTCATTTTGTATAGTTTTCTCAAACTTTCTTGGTATATTTGTTTGCTGCCTGATTCAGTTGACACTCTTCTTTCACGATTGATAAAAAGGTATTGTCTTCAAGACAATATCTGGGTCTATCAATTTGCAGCTTGCCACCTTGCCTACTACTACAGTCCTATCACAGCTTGTAAATGGTGATTGATTATGGGTCTATCAATAAATGCAATCAACTCATTTGCATTTCAAAAAGCAGGGAATTACTGTGCAGTATCTGAAAGTACTGCGCAGTAACCATAGCTGACACACCAGTCATTCATTATTACTAACTACGGTGTTGCAAGGGACCTTCAAAACATTCAATGAATGCACCCTGTAAGTCGAATACTGAAGAGAAGTGAGTAGCTGATGCGTCAACATGTGACTTAGAGGAAACTTGATCAAGCATCCATATATATGATGAGTAGGGACTAAGAATGTGTTGTGTAAGAACTGATTAATGCTACTCCCATTGAGAAAAGGCTTTAGTACATTGGAAATGCCCAGTCAAATAATTGAAAATGTTTCTATTTGAGCCTGTACTGCAATCGTGTTTTGACAATTATATAGACAAACGTGACCACAGCATGCACACACTGAGTTGTCATCAAATGAAAAGCGACTAACATTAAATTGAAAGTAAATAGTTTGGAGAGAAGAGGCAGGCATGCAGGAACTGGCCCCAGATCAGGAATTGAACCGTAGACAACCACATTGAAGACTATAGCTTCTGCACGTGTTGCACATGGTGTACCAACTGATCCATACAGCATCCTCTGCTTCGTAATATTCTTAATGGTGGAAAGCTCATTTGGTAAAATCCAGACCTAAAAATTACACTGTGTTCCTTCCGGCTATAAAGTTAAATTGTAATAAATCCACTCATGTATCACGAAGGTTGATGTTAAAAACATTTCTTGAGAATCATGTCACATATATCTTAGTCATAGTTATAGTAACTATAACTGCATTATATCTATGTTTTTCTCAAGAATAATTTATGCAGTCCATTGTTCTTTAATTTTACCCTCAAGGTTTTGTAACTTCCTCTTTATTTCCCACTGAACTGTGTTATGTGGTCATAGTCTTGTTAATCTTTTGCCTAGCAGATTTCATAACTCTTCATGCTCATCCAACCTTCTTCCGCTGTTTTTTTTTTCAGTTTTACAGAGAGTAATAATTCTTAAAACACAAATGTGATAAGGAAAAGAGAACTAAATCTTTCAAAAAATCACATTGTTTGAAAAATCTGTAAACACCAGACTTCTGAAAATGTTTATTTTATTATTTTTTACTTCCATGATTTGATAATGCACTTTGCTGTTGGCCTAAATGCGGCAGATTTAATGATTGTGGCCATTACATGCTGACACAGGATGGTAGGTCACTGTGGTTGCTCCTCTTTTTTCTTTGGCATGCAATTTCTAAACACCAACAACCTTATGATGTCTTGAAAAGGACAAGTTTAGACATGATGTCTGTGCTGTATTGTTTACTGTACTAGTGAACTAATGATCTTGACTATAAAATCAAAATTGTTGGGCAGCTAAAATTCCTAGCAAAATAGTTGGAAACAGGTCTTAAAATTAAAAAAAATCAAAGGGGAAGATTTGTTAGGTTCAAGTTTTTACCAGCTTTAATTAATCAGACATTTTGGCTGATTTACAGAAAAATGAACTGTAAACACTGAATTTTACAGTGTTTACATTCCTATGTGACATTCTTCCACTCCACTAAAACGTTGATAACAATATCAGGAGTGCTACTTGATCTTGATTTTCTGTTTCAACACAAAACTGCAAACTAAACATGTCTACTTTCATTTTTGCCTGTTATTTTTTGAGTTGTGCCTAGACAACATGCAGAAAAGTCAACAGCAGTTAAGGCAATCCAAGTTATATAAAAACTGTAATTGATTCAACTTCAATCAAATTTTTCAAACAATGGCTTCAAAACTAAAAATTGTGGTGCAGCATATTTCTCATACATCATATGTATATATTGATGATACCATTATTTTGTCCTTTTCTTTTATTTTTATACGTTAATGGAATTATGCAATATAAGTATGACTTTTGGTGAGATTGTTGTATCATTGCAGCAAAACAAATTCGACCCTACATATCTCTGATACTGTCACATTAAGTGTCAGATTTTATGGAAATGTAGACAGCAGCTCTATTGTCTACATTTCAAATAGTTCAAAGGAAAAAATAAAGTCAGGATCACCAAAAATGATTAGAATAGAAAAACAGAGCTAAAGATTTTTAGCTATGTAAATCTTTAGCTACACTGATGAAGTCTGATGAACAAGGATAAGGACAACTTATGTCCTTGTCCTCGTACATCTGTCAAACAAGGACATAAGTTAAACAAACATCTCAGTTTTAAGGCATTAAGTAGAAAACAACCTATTTTTTAGGTTTCACATAAAAGTGTTAGTGCTCCTCTAAACATCTGCCTGTCATGTTTCTTAACAGATCAGACATCTTGTTGACGCTAGGATTTTAATTAGGGAAAACTATCATAGGTACCACAGTTCCTTAGAGAGAGAATGTGGCCATGTATCTTTGCATGTATACCTCTAACAGCAAACAAATATAGATTCAATCCCTCAATTAAAATATGCATATATATTTTTTTAGGCGATTTCACAGATATGTAGGAACAACTCAAAGAACTCTGGAACCTCTGATTTTGGGTCTGGATCTAAACGGTGTCTGGTTTCTGCCACTGCTTAGTTGTAGGCTTCACTGCAACACTTTTGGGATCGTTTCTCTGTCTTCTTTCAGCATCCCTCCTTTTATAAACCCCAATGAATGGTTGGTATGCTTTTGTAATGCTGCTTCTGGATTCAATCCTTGCTTTTCAATGAAGCGGACAGAAGAACCGGGATCAGAGCCAGCTGGCCTGGATTCAGTCTTGCTTAGGCACATTAGCAAAGACAGGCAACATGAGAGAGGTTAATGCAGTCCAGAACCCGAATTTTCAGCACCATTGTCCTCCACTCAGTCTTTATGTTGTGGGTACATTTACTGTCCACTGAGAGGGCTACTGATGAAAAGGGATTTCCCTGTTGATTTGCTCTAACAGCATCACAGACTGTAAGCTGATATAGATGTTTGACAAATGAGCTTTGGGTTTTTCCATTGATTCCTTTTTTTCAAATTCTTGAGCTGCCTGAGAGGCCACTGTTACTTTTACTGTCACCCTCATTTAAAACTAGCAGCAGAAACACAAAGTCTAAAAACAAAAACTGAAACGTTCACGTTTGTTATCTTCGACGATCTTCAATCATTTTCCTCTGCAGTCAAACGATCACGATTCTATTATTTCTGTACTCGTGTTGTAATAAAACTGATTAGCAGGATCATTTTGGATTTTTTTTTTCTCCAGAAAGTGCCTTGAGAAAATATTTGCTGGGAATTGGCAATATTTAGGTTGTTAGATGAACTGAATTAAATTGAAATAGAGGATGTTCAGGAAAAAAAGATGAAAAGAAAAATCACTAAATGAGTGACTAACGTTTGGCAAAGACCCCAACAGCAGTGTGTAAAGAACAGACACAATCACTGCTTGTTACACAACAGAAGACCGCTGCAGGGTGAATAATGCTGGCATCTAATGGTGAAAACTACAAATATGTTTATAAAAAGTACTATTTACAAATATTATTTTAAGCTAACGCTAGAAGAAAACCTACTTGACAATATTTGTTTTTTACCATTTCAGACACCATTTAAAATTCTCAAAATATACAATTTATTCAAAATATGTTAATGCAGCCATCAATATATTCCAGTAATTACAAATCAGTAGTTTTTGTTCACCATTTCATCCTTAAAGACAACAGGGATCTCAGGAAAGAACAAGCATTAATTCATGGCCAGTTTAACAGATTAAGACCCCTTTCTTCTAATAATAACGCTTTTTAAAATCAGACTGAGTTGTTTTTTTAAAATGCATGTACTCAGTTTAACAGTTTGGAGAAGCTCTAGTGTCATTGTATTTCAGGTGACATACATTTTAGGCAATGATATTAAATCTACAGTCACCAAAAACCAAAATAAAAAAAATACTTTTATGAAAATCCTATTTTTTTTTCTTTTTCAAAAAAGAAACTTTGTTGAATCAGAAAAATGATTCAGACTGACTGTTTTTTTATTGTTGTTTTTTTTTAAAAAAGGCCTAAAAGAATTTAACGTTTTCAATAATGCAAAGAAACCAATCTCAGGATTGAGGGGCAACTAGGAGCATGCAACATAATTATAACTACTAGATGACTTAAATCTAGTGCAGACATTGTTTATTAAGACAGGTGACTGTATCAGTTCCCCAACAGCAACAACACAGACATGTAAAGGCAAACCATGAACAGATCCAGGAACACTGACACAAACATATTTATGCACTCATCTGTACGCTTACAGAACTCTGTACAAGTAATCATAACGGGAAAACAAAAGAGTATCATGGATAAACTTACTAAAAAAACAGGTGGCCATGAAAGACAAACTAATCATTAACTCTCCAAACCTTAATGCATTTTGTTTTCAACTCATTAGAGTCTTTGGCACAATCAAAACAGAGAGGCTGTAGGAAATCGAAAGGATTAGTTCAGCATATTTGGAAATACAGATTCTGAGAAGTAAAAAAGAAGGTTTATTGTGAATCTGCAGTGGGTCGTAAAAAGTAAACCACATCTCAACAGCAACAATCACGGTTTTTAGTAAATAGGTGGGCAGGGAGGAGTGACATCATTTAGGACCAAGTCTTTTTCTATTTTGCGCATTCAAGAACTGTAAAAGGACTCAGTTTGGCCATGTCTAGTAATGTTAACCCCTCATTAATGTAAAGTTATTGTGTTAGTGGTGACGGTGAGCTCGGGTTGAATTTCAATAGTTTTTTATTGTTGTGTTGGCAACTTTTTCAAACCCATATACCTAAACCAATACATATTAGTTTATGTTTAGTAGTTTTATGAATTATAAAAATAAACTGAAAAAAACATGATAGATAAATGTATGATTTCATTTCACCAGGATTTCTCACTGGCAGGAAGGCGTGAAACAAAGATGATAGACATCTGCTTTATTTATTTATCTGAAAAGTCAGGTACAAAACAAGGTGAAAAATGGAAAAGAGGCAAAATGACCAGCGTATCTGTGACCTTGCCATCATGTTAGCAGTAATTTAACTATATACAAATAAATTGCATAAAGGAAATTTGACATTATCTATGGCAATAAAAAAAAAACAGTTTGATCTTAAAGTGGCAGCATATATTCATGTTCCATCTAACAGGATACATGCTTGTTATGTGGAGTAGAGCGGGGATTGTATTTCCAAAAATGTTGCACTATTCCTTTACTCTTATTTTAACAAGAAAGTTGGTATTTTCAATTTGAGCCATTATAGGGAGTGCTAATGACAGCATTGGCTTTTGAAAACTCTTACAGTAATTTACAACAATCTCTAATAAAAATACAGTAACTGGCAGACAGAGGAGCCACACACTGGCCACCAGAAAAACAAAAAACAAAACAAATAACACTGTTATTCGTTGAGACACAAACAGAACCCCACCGTAACGAGACAAGTTTGTATTTAACAACATGTACAGACGTCGGACATTGACTTATTTATGTCTCTTCATCATGTGATTGATTTTTTTTTTGTTCCATGTCAAAAGGTGCTCATCTCATACTGCATTCACACTCTCCACATATCCAAATAATAAATACACTCAACTTTAAAGAGCCACAATGTTTTTACACATTAATCTCATAAATAAGGAAATGTACAGCAACCAAGTTTGCTTAAATTATCTATCGGGGTGAGCACAAAGTGGATTATAGAAAATACACAGCATGATCTGTCAGTTAAGGGGTCATATAAGAGGACGGTGAAATGTAGCCAACATGTTATTCTGACATTTTTAAACAGTGCAGGTGATTTATGTTTGTTATCCACTTTTTCTATTACTTAACACTATTTTCTGGTATTTATTCCCTTTTACAGTTTAAATGCAAAGGAGACAAAGACGTCAATCTTCCTTTAACTCTCCAGCATGGTGTTCCTGCACATTCAGAAATGTCAAAAACTATTGAAAAAAGCAGAGTGATGCAGCTGAACTGTAAATTTGTCCTGCATAAAAATGTTTATAGTTTACACACAACATTTACACACCACATTGTGTTGTTTACACACACTTTATAAATGTCGCAATCAGTTTGCTGAAAAAATAAAATAACATGGGCTCGGTTTGAGGGCGGAACATGCATCATGTTGGGGAATTTCTCGACTCCACTGCATCAAGATTTGTGACATGATTTCAAAAAAATGCCCAATCTCGGTGAATCTACCAATGTACTCAGGCCCATTGAACCAGTTTCTCCTGTACCTCTGAACTTCATCCGAACAACTCGATTCTGCTCTTTTCCTGCTTTGAGCAGGATCTCTCTGACCGCAGCAGAACATGCACAGAATGGAAGTGCGACTTTCCTGGACCGAGTTTAAAGTGGACAGAGAACAGGATGTCATTGTTTTCTGCCTTTTTCTCATCCTTTCCTCTTTACTTTTTCTGTTGCGTCAACAGTCACATGATCAAGAGGCTACGACACACAGCAGCAGGTCCGCGCCTTCGGTTGCTCCTCCTCCAAGGGCTGCTTGAATTTGAGGAGGGGAGGATCGCCGCTGGCTGGCGTGTAGTAAACTGCGTTGCCGTTGGAAGAGACCAGAGGCATCCGAGGGTCTTCAGAGTAAAATTTGGCATCAGAGAAGGAGTCTGTGGAGCCGTTGCCAAGGTGGCCGTTGAACAAAGGGTGATTCAGCAGTTTGGCTGCTGCCCTCTGCTTCTTTAACTCTGACAACGTCTGAGGGCGCTCCCTCTGCGCAACGTCGTCCTGCGAAGGCTGGGAAATGACGACTGCGCCCTTACTGAGCGTCGGTGTGCTGCCGTTGGAGGGCGGTTGCGGTGGCATGGACGTCGTGGTTGCGATGAGGCCATTCTGTTTGCCACTGCCATCTTTGAGGATGGTGGGTGATTTGGGCTTTTCTGGCAGCTCCACAGCTACGACAGGCTTCACCTGAAGAATGTCGATAAAGGTTACGATGATCCCTCGGTAGCTTAGTGCCATTTAGTCTATTCAAACCCCCTGAGCTTTTTCATATGCCATTACGTAGCAGCCATAAACTCTAGTGTATTTTAGCAGAACATTGCCTGATAGACCAACACAAAGTAAAACATAATGATGAGATGGAAAGAAAGAGATAGGATTTTCAACATTTTGCACAAACAAAAAAATAAATAAATAAAAAATGCTATTTTGGTGTGGACTTGCTTTAATCCAAGCCATTCCTTTGTAGCTCTGACTCTATATGGTTGCTGTCCTGATGAAAGTCAACCTCCTCTCCATATCAAAATCTCTAAATCAAACACAGATGAACTTCATTTCCTAATCAGGTTACTTCTGAATGGTTGCACTGGATTTTATTTAGCTTTATCAGAAAAATACCCACCACATTTTTCAGATTTTTATGTTTCAAAAATCAACAACTTTTCTTCAGACACAATTACATGTGTCTGACTTCCTCTTGTCCAGAGGAAGTCAACTAAAATACTAGAAAATAATTTTATTATGTATTTATTCATTTATATAATGTACTTATTTTGTAGAAAATGCAGCTATTTATAAAACATTTTATAAAGCGACATAAAATACACTTATTTTAAGCAACCATGGTTCACATTTATTAACATAACTTTTTGGATCATCTTGCAGAAAATTCCCCTTCAGCTCATGACTGAGTATTTTTAGCATGTTTTGTTTTTCCATTGTGGGTTTCCTCCTGTGTGGCTGTCAGAGGAAGTCTTTATATCTTGATATACCAACAGTCAAACTGACATTTATGACAGATGGTTATCCTTCTTGGCATTTTAAAACACTAATTTTAACATGAGAGAAAAATATGCCACAATAATCAGCTTCTTAGTGGAACAACTTCCCACCTGATTATTCTCCTGATCAGACTCTTTCTCCTTCTCTTCCTCTCTTCCTCCCCTCCACACAATGGCCTCGGTTTCATACTCCTTGCGACACAAGTTGTGTCTGTCTGACAAACTAGCTCGCCGCACCACTTTTCTGTAAACACAGACAAAGTTACAATAAATAAAAAAACAGAGCGTTACATTTATCTTCCATCTAAAATTCTAAACCAAACCCAAACCATGCAGTAGCAGACGTAGAGCCAGCAGAGGGCAGTACTCACCCACGACTGCCTGCGCTGGATGTTCTCCTGCACAGTGATGTCTTGTGTTTGAGCTGAGACTTCATGATGGTGTCATGTTTGTGTTTCAGGTCCAGCAGGATGGCTCTGAACTCCTCATCCTCACACAGATCTTTAACAAAGGTGACACACACTGTATTTCAGCTTGCGTAGGGACATGAGATCAATTAAGATTAAGGCAACAAACAACAAGTAAGGGGGTTAGCTTTCCTTAAAACTTTTAAACCAGTTCATAGTGTGAATAAATCCTTTATTTTAAGCTTAAGGAAGTCCCTGCAGGGATGATTTGTCTTCTTAAACATACCAATGGGTGTCTCCTCTAGGAAGGTCTTAGCATTGAGACTTGCTCCTTGTGACACCAGCAGTTCTGCCACATGCATCTGAAACAACCACCACAGGAGTAAATGTCACGAACGGCTCAATATGACCGCTCATCTTCTTCATGCTTCTTGCTGTGTTTGCTTTACCTGACCCCAGCACGCTGCCGCATGAAGAGGCTGCCATCCATCAGAGTCCCTCAGGTCCATTCGAGCCCCCGCCTCCAGCAGCAGCAGCTCTGCAGCCTGAACGTAGCCGTTTGCTGCTGCGATGTGGAGCTGCAAAGACGGATTATGGATGATTGTGAAATTTCTGTCAAGTGACTTGGATATGCAGCAGATTTCCTCTAGTGTTTATACATTTTGTGGCTTAAGATTCCATCCACAAAGAGTGCTGCAAGCTAATCTTTGTAACAGAGTACAAAAATGACTGGTTTGCAAATTTGGGTGGTTCATTTTCAAAAATCTAAAAAAATAAATCTAAAGTCTCTACAATAAGTGTTGAGTAGAGCAACAAAAATGTAATCAGTTATTTTTGGGAGCTTATCTGTGGTCGTTATGTTTCCTGTTTTGCTGGTTGCTATCAGGGATCACTAAAAGAGCAGAACAGAGTTTTAAGTCAGGCCATTGAATTCAAAACTCTTCTCACCAGACATTAAAAAAAAACATTTTACAGAGAAACGAAAATGTTTAAAAACTAGTGAAGATTAGATTTCAGCTGAAAATAGGTACAGTAAGTCTGTTGTTTGCATCAGTTAATATCCAAAGTTTGTTAAAAAAAAATCAAAGAGTTGAAAGTCATGGCTATAAAGAAGAGAATAGTAGGAAGTTGGCATATATCCTCCAGAAGGTTTCCAGTGTTTTAATATAAATAACATGCAAATTTTCTTTAATGCCCCAAGAGGCTGACACAAATCTATTTATTCATTACATGATACCAAGAAAACATGATAGAATATTAAACTAAACAGTTTGGGTTTTCATGAGAACTGGATTTTGTTTATTTAAGACAATTAAAGCATTTTTTTTGTCTTGTTTATTTAGAGTTTGTCCTCTGCAGGATCAGCTGGTACTACGGAAACAACATGTGAAGCTGACAGAGACATAAAATCTCTTTAGGTTTGTTTTTGTGTGTTTATGGCTGTCACAACTCTGACATACAGACTCACGGATAAAAGTACTTGACATCTTCAAAGGATAAGCACAGCTGCACTTTAGAGCCCTTTCCTGTACAGCACAGGGGAAAAAGTCTAATTTTACCTTATAGATCATGCTTTTGGATTTGCAATCTCTGCACATAGATATACTAAACCTGTAACAAGACACAATATCAAGAACACACAATGTAATTTAGTCTCTCCATGCCAACATACATGTAAAATGGGAAATTTAAAAGCAAGTTCTTTTGACTTTTATTGTATTTTTGTCCCGAGTATAGGGTTAGCTCATTTCAAACCTGAACTAAAATTATCCTTAAAACCAAAAACCGCATCTGGTGCCAGGAAAAAGAAAACAACCCAAAGAGTCAAATTGAGAAATACTATGTAGTTGAAAAGGGCAAACAGAAGCATGTGAGGAATGTTGGGGTCATCCAGTTCATGGAAAGCTGATCTCTGTCTGCTTTTAGGATTATTGGCCGATGCGGCGAGATGCTGAGACCTTCTGTTTCAAGAAGGAGGTTTATAGAGAGTTTATTATAATCGGAATGAAAAAACACAGGTGGTCTGTTATGAACTGTTGTCATTCTCATGTCATTCACTAGGATTCTTCCTGTTCAAAGGAGGTGGTTCCTCTCCACTGTCACCACATGCTTGCTCAGGTTGATGGATTACAAAGTGAGCCACTCAACGAAACTAGCTGAGCTTCCTTTGATTTGCTTTACCAACAAACATTAAAGGGTCCACTAAATTTGATTGTGTTACAATAAAATTTGGATTTATTGCATAAAATGTAATGTGGTCTGATTAAATAACTCAGTTGTTCTGCAGTTATTTGGATTGATTTGAGTTGAACTTGTCTGGTAAAGTGCTTTCAGATGACCTTTATTGTGAATTAGCTTTTCATAAATAACTGATCTAAATTATGCTCTTAGTTGAAAAAAGAAGTTAACATTTTAAAATATGCTTTGAAAAATAGCAGTTTGCAGTTTTCTTTTCTCCTGCTTAATTTTACTTCTTGCATAGAAAAGTTAAAACTTGCTGAATATGCTGAATAATCCATAATTTCTGCTGGGTGTAGAGCAGCAATTTTTCACCCCAAAATTAAGGGTTACCTTGATTCATGTTTGTAAAGTAGTGATTTAACCATGTAATTTGATTTTCAGAAAATTGTTTATAGAAGCGGAAGTACATTCATCATTTATTCTAATGAGTGCAGAATGATTCTGCACATGAAAGCCAGTTAGCATGTCTTAATGATCATTAATGGTTACATAAAATAACTTAATAGCATCTTTGTGGCTCCACAAGGACAACTGAAAAATCTTTAAATATCTCAAGCTGTTTAGAATTTAAGTAGTTGCCAAGTCTGTGGAATTTCCTCAAATCTAATAATAAACAAGATAACATGTTTGTTATGCTGGCATGGGTGGATACGAAAGTGCTCTAATTAATATCAAAAGATCTTACAAGTGCAAGCTTTTTCCAGCATCCTTTGACTTGTAAAACACAGATGTTTTCAGCCCAAAGAAATCAAGATTCAGATTTCTACTGCTCATATGTTGGACTCCAAACAAAACAGAAATGTCACCCTCAGGTTGCCACCAAATGTTCCTTTGCAGCTATTCCAGCTTAGCTTTTCAAAAGGTTTTGAGTGTCTCTATAGGAATTTTTGGACAATTTTCTTCAAGAGCATTTGTGAAGTCAGACACAAATGCAGTCTCTGCTCTAATTCATCCAAAAGGTCCTCAGTCAAGTTGAGATTCGGACTCTGGGTGGACCAGTCAAAGTCCATTCCACCACACTGAAACATCCATGTCTTTGTAGAAGTTCCTCTTTGGTTTAGCCATGTCAGACCACAAGACATGAACTACCACTTAAATAAAATCAACACAAAATATATTTCACTGAAAAGCAAAAGATTACAGTTACATAACATTGTTCCCATTTTTTCCCTGTCTTTCCTGCCAGTGATTTTAATAAGGTATGCTCCATTTTGCTTCATTGTGCTCAAAAAAGATTAACAGGATGCAAGGCAAAGGGATGAGGAGGTCCAACAGACAATCTGTAGTAAGTATAAAAAGCTTAACAAGGTTATTTTGGGATACTACCTTACTTTGCTATTTCTACCCAGTGATCCATTACCATGTTTCCACATCGTAGCTAAATCCCTGATACGTAATGAAGACTTGATTTAGGTCGCTGACATTATATCCCTCTTAGAAAATTAAATGTGGATGATTCTTTTCATACCCCTTTCAGTGCATCACTGCCCTGATCTGCTATGTTGGGGAAGCAGTTAATTCAGTGCACCTCTTAATACTGAAATACTGATTTAGTGAGTGAATAAAACTTTCTCAGTCTTCATGCCAGTGCACACTTCTATAAATGGCTGAGCTAGCAGAACAAGTACTGTCAAACTCTGTTCCAAAGAGTCTGTAAGTTCTTAATCCACATAACAAGAATGTGTGCAAAAATGGCTAGTTGTATAATACATTAACATTAATTTGTTTTATCCTGCATTGAAATGGCCTGACATTGATTACTGACATGCGTAGCTTTTTAATGCACCAATTATTGCTTCAGGCTTCTTTACATTGCTGATGTTCACCACCAGACAACCAGTGTATGTGTAGAGGATTTGAAATCTCAGCTGATTCGCCTTAAGAAGGTTTTAATGGCCCTCTAATGCCTGATTAGCTCGGAAGGTTTTACAACCTCCTGAGACGATGCTGTTGAGAATATGATCTTGAAAAGGTTAACGCGTAATGAAGAAATTCATCAAATATTCATACATATTTTTTTAATCGACTCTGTTGAAGTTTTGTGTCCGCAATCAAATGACTCAGTTTCTTCAAAACCACAGATTTACAGATCTGTTTTGGTTGTACTTCAGACAGTATATTTGGTTTCACACAAATTAACTGATCTAACAGCAAAAGCATTAAAGTACAAACTAAATGTAAAGAAAAAAATAGTCTGAACAAAAGCTTAAGATGATATCAGTTACTATAATCCCATCTCATTCTTCTTTTCCATCAACACAAACTTGTTCAGAACCAACTGAATGTAAGGACCAGAGGGACCAAAGGTTGTCTTAAATAACACACAAACTGTGCATACCTTTACTTTTTATTTAAAATACTTTTTAAGTATTACATCTAAGTACTACTTTTCAGTTGAAACATTGAACATACTGACATTGCATTGATGACTGTGGTTCAATATAAGTGATAGAAGGGAACCAGCTGCTACTAACCCTCCTGCGTTTGAAAGCAGAAGTATCGGTGTACTTTGTTACTGCATAGCTTTCAATTAGCAGTGAAACTTGAAAGAATTTTTTTATTCATGCCAACAGCTTAAAATGTGATTAATTTCAGTTCATCATATTTTAATTGAAATATGCCGTTTCACTTGTGCATCAGATTTATGGGTGTACCAGAAACGTGTTGCAGCTGGAGCTTTTGTATGTAAAAATGCTGTTATTAATTGTGTTAACATATGTAACGATGTAATTAATCAAAATTAAATAATTAGGTAATGGAAGTAACAATATCAAAGGGGAAGTCCAGTCCCTAGATAACCAAAGCTCCACAGGAGTGTGTCCTAAAGATATCCCGATCAGATTCTTCAACAACTTTGATATGGGGATTCCTCCTCAGTGGAGGAATCTCATTTCATCTGTTTGTTTCTAAGACCTTGTTTTTTAGGTCATGATTTATATATCAGTGGTGTGGATGAGAATACTGGTAAACTAATAAATCCAGAGCTGCATCCCACAGCTCTAAAACCAGTTTTTTTTACTCTCCTTGTACGAGGTTTGTAATACCTTGTTACTAGTACTACTGAGGAGTAGTTTGCTGAAGAGTTGCACTGAATACATAGGTTTCTCATTGTTAGTTTTTATACAGTAAATATTTACTAAACTTATTTTCTTCCACTGATTTACATTTTCAAATTATCCGTAAGTAAGACAGCCAGCTAGTTATGCCTTTGAGCAACTTCTTACCAGTGTGGCTCCCTGAGAGTCCTGTTGGTTGACCTCGTCTCCTACTCTCATCATCTCCTGGATGTCTCCCATCATCTTCCTCTCTGTGGACGCCCGTGTCTCATTGATCATCTCCTGAGTGATGCCTGTGCAAATTGCAAATAGAAGCATGCTTAATAAAAACCAGGAAAATGTTACCTTCCAAGCACAGCGTCTATGATTGGAAGTAAAATGTGTTTAAATTGCTCCAGGCTGAATTAAACTGATTTAAAGAGACAGCAACACGCTCTACTTTTTAATATGCTGCAGCGATGACACAACAGCTCTAAGAAAAAGAAACATCAAATTCCACTTTTCTTTAATATTTGAATGGAATATATGAGTAAACTGTTTACAAGGAGAAGATAATTTGAAAAAAAAGCTTTTAGTTTGAATATTTAATTGAAATTTTAATATAAGACACAGGTGCGTTATTGCCTTTCATTGGGGAGGTGTATTGAAGACAAACCTGTAAAAATGGCACTCGCTCCAGAAATAAAAAGCAGAAGCCAACAGGCGTCACCTGACTATGCATAGTTTACTGTCAGGGTCTCAGCTCTATGACCTTTCCCATGACACGGACTTGCAGAAGCCCATCCACTCATCTGAGAATCCACCTTCCTACCGAACGTACTTAAAGATAAACCTCTAGTTTATTTCACACTCTTAGCTGCAACACCATCCCACATAAGACTCAGTGAGTGATTGTGATGAAAGCTTGACTGAATTTACAATCAGAGTCTCAGCAAGAGAAGCATATAAATCAGTGCTTTTTGTTGGTTTCATGTTCCCTCATATTTTTGTTCTTTTATGTTTTCACTTGAACTTGAACTGAAATCTTTCTCTTTAATAATGTCACAAATTCTGCATACCTATTGAGGGATTTGGCCTTTATGAGCCACAGCTTGAAGATAAGAGAAGTCTTTTCACTCAAGTAATGAAAGTGGAAACTATTTCTAATTCAAGGACAAATTATGGAAACAAAGCGGCTTATAAAAGAAATCTGTTTTTTTTATTTGTTCCTCATGGAATGAGATTGTTATAAATATTGCAAATACTTGGATTTTGCTTTTGATTTTGGTCTAATAGATTTAACTACATCCACAGACTGTGATAAACAAAAACTTTACACTGTAAATGTGACTAAAGTTATATACAATTAGACCAAAAACATGACTATTAGAGCAACTGGTCTCTCTAAATTGACACACTTAGGGATCAGTGTGTGTGTGGATGGTTGTGGCTCTGTGTTGACCCTTAATGGACTGGTGACCAATCCTGAATGCCTCTTGCCCAATGACTGTTAGAGATAGACACAACCTGCAACCCTGCAAGAATATAGACAGTGAATGGGTGAATAGTTATGGTCAAGCACTTTGATGGAAAACCCCGTAAGAGATCCAATAACTACTGTCAGCCCATTCTGTGTCTCAAACATAAGAGACACATCTTTACAGCTACACATCTTATGTGTATCTAATAAAAATGTGACTTGTTAATGCTAGATAAAATTTAACTAAGGAAGAACCAAACCACTCAAGTTGTTTGTGTTGTGGCCGGTCAACTGGACTATGTCTTCTTCACATACAGGTAGAGAGATCGCCTCATTATCACTGCGACTCTTTGTAGATCATCTCTTCTCTACAGGGGGAGGATCAAGGCAGAGTTGGATCAGTCGATGCTGCATATTAAGAGCTCTGTGTGTTGGGGACAGGCTGTGTGTGTGCCTGTACCCGCAGTGTCTCTGAAGATAGAAGTCTTATTCCCCACCGCTGTGCAGAGAACATTACAAGAGCAATTAGCAGAGCTGGACTCCCTTTGATCAGTGTAATAATCATTCTTCTCACCTACTGTACCGCTATCTGCATTCTGCAGCTCCACTGATCCTTTTGTAACTCATTTTTGAGTGTATTCACCCTCTTCAGACCCCAGTTTGTTTGTGCTTCCATCACTGGCTCCAAACCAGGATCCAGCCAACACAAGATGGCATCATGTGCCCCATTTGTACAGCTAACAGAAAACCAAAGCTATTAACCCTGCTCTTGTTTACAAGACAGAGCTGATCATAACAGAGTTCTTCTGACCTTTAATTATCTGAGGGAATATGAAGAAGATTTATGATGCTACAGCATCATCTTGCCTCCACACAGTGATGTTTACCACCAACCAGTCCAGTGATTCATTTACTTGGATGCTGAAGGGCACCTTTGCATCCTTTACAAGCATGCAAACAAGCTAAACAACTTCCCACAGACCTACACATGTGCAGTCATGGTAAAAAAGAAAGTACACTCTGCTTATTTGGTATGTATCCAGGGATTATGTTATGTTATGATGAAATCTGGGATGTGCAGTTCTGCACATTTGGTGTTGGATTTTAATAATATCAAAACCTAGAGAAGACCAGATAATTTATACATTGAAAGCACAGAACTGACAGAGAAATTACATCTCTTTTCAGTATGTCTGTATGTCACATAAAAGAAACCCATGTAAGCAAAGAAAAGTAGCGAAAAAAGGAGCTGAGCTACAAAGAAAAACTGAAAAACATTTAAAAAGCTTGAGGATTACATGGAAATCTCACTCCCTGGAGGCAGTAAACAGTATAAATAAGTTCAAGGTAGCTTGCTTTTAAAATTACAGTAACTGACATTCATTCTCAAAGTGTATGTCCTTAGTGATTTGACTTTTTAAATTTCAGTGTAGAAGCATATGAAACGTTAAGCTTTCATCACTTTGCAGTGTCAACTATGGTCCTTTTCACTTCTTTTCAGAGCAAACCAACATTTTTCCATTCAGATTTCAGCGGTCAGCTCTAGAGATGTGATTCCTGCCATATTTCCTATAGTTCTAATCATTGTATGTGTATAAATACATTTGGGTCTCTGTTTGTGGCAGTCTGAATTGATTTAAATTTCTTAATTACTGCTTTACATATGTTCTTTATGCAAGTACGGTATGAAAGCCAGATTATAGCATTCAAATCCACCTAGGGAAAAGGATCTTGCAAGTTTGGCTACCTGTGCACTGAGTTGATGAAAGTAAAATTGAAGTATTTAATAACCATCATCACAACTGGAGAAAAGAGCAAGAGCCTTACAACCAAAGAACATTATAATGTGTGAGCATTTTGCTGCAGAGATGGCAAAACACTCAGTGAAGCTGAGTTTTGTCAGGAGGAATAGGACATAATTCCAGAAAATAAATGCAAAATCCAAATATTGCACCCAAGTCATTTATAAAGGATATTATTTATTTACATCATGACCTCAAAAGGTTCCTCAGTGATCCCCAGAGCAGAACCAGCCTTCTTTACCAAGCTGCCGAATCTTTTTAAGACCCTCATTCTATTCCTGCTGCTGTAACAGATGATAGCAGAAGATATTTCACTCTGCAGAACAGACTTGCAGCATCTTGCTGCAAACATGGAAGGATCTAAGCTTACCCAAGAAGTAAAGTTTGCTCAATCTTTAATAGACAACTTGTTGCATTTCCACTTTGGTCTGTTTTCTAAGTGAACACCAAAGTATTTATACTCCTCCAACAACTTTCCATGATGGAAATAGAGGTCGACATACTCATGTTCCTGAAATTGACAACATCTCCTTTGTTTTGTTCCCACACCATACCACTGAGCGCTCCACCAACTCAGTCAGCTTCTTGATAATTTCTGACAGACCTGATGAATACAGAGTCATCTGAGTATTTCTACAGATCACAGGAATCTGTTTTGTACTGGAAGTCTGAGATAGAGTGAAAAGGAATGATGAGAGTACAGTCCCCTGTGGTGCTCCTGCATTTCTGGATACCTGCTTCATCTATTAACCATCAGGCATTTTGGGAATTAATATAATTTTGATAATCCAAGCTAATGTAAACAGAAAATGCTTAATCTGATTTAATGTTGGTAAGAAAAATATATGTCTTTATATGTAGTTTATGTAAATATCTAGTTTCAACTGCATTTCATCAACAGAAGAATAAGAATTCATGATACACAATCTCAAAATATATTGTCCTTGAAGCACTAATAGTCCTCTGTCGAAACAATGCTTTTATGGGTCAAATATCCACTTCAAGTCAATTTGTGGGGGAAGACAAAGACCTTCAGAGATCGTCTTTGGAAGAGAAAACACTTTTCCCTCACACCCTATTTCTGCAGTAAATACGACACAATGCCATATCCTGTTTATACAAACTCCACATTTACAAATATTGAAAAAAAAATCAGTGTTTACTGGACTTTAAAGGGCAACTATTTCCTGGCGGGTGGCAGGAACTTCCTGTAATCTCCATTCCTTCAGCAGATTCTCCTCGTTCTGGTCAAGTCCAGGAAGCAACCCAATGGGCTTTTTTTTTTGCTCATTAAATTGACAAAAACTCAGCCAAATTGCTAATATATCTACAAAAATGCTAATCTTCTCTTGCAGCAGATTATATTTCAGCAGCCAAAGAACATGTATCTAGTCTTCTTAAATGCAAAATTGCGGCCAACAATATTTTCTTGCAGCTGTAGTCACACATGGCAATCTGTAAATGTCACTATTTAGCCAAGAAAAAAAACAAGCTAAATAAAGCCGTATCTCGCCAAAGCAAATATTTGAAACACATCACGCGCCCCCCTCCTTCATTCTTGCTGATCTGCAGTCTGTTTTGTCAGCACTGCTCTCCTTGAGCTCTCTCTCACTAATATCACAGACAAACTGCACCGGCTGCAGCTGTTTACTGTGCCGCAGCATGAATATACAGCCTCCTGATCTGCATCCCATCGAGAGAGACAGAACGTGTGAGGTGTGAATATATTAGTAGTTTACCCAGAGAGCCGCTCCTAAATCAGCGCGAGAATCTTAAAAGCTGAGCGTGATCTCAGCTCTGCTGCTGGTTTTTTTCTGCAATCTGTACCTGTAGAGCCCAGAGCAGGAGTGCAAAAACTACTTCAAGCTGCAACAAATGCTTTATGCGACCGGTATAAATTAGATTTATAGTAAAATAATCTAATAAACATAAAAAGTCTATATATAGAGATATTTATATGTATATCATTTCGAAATCTAATAAAAAACGGCAGATGCTTTAGAGAACGTCAAAGACAACATCAACAGTCCAAACATTTTTGATTTGAGTACTGTTTTGAAGTCTTCTGAAAGATACAGGAAAATATTTTGCATCAGTGATGTTTAAACTTATTTAAAACCATTAAAGGTTATTTCAACATCTCCTATTGGGTGTTTTCTGCAGTCTCCAACTTTGGGGATTAAAAGCTCCCTTTAGATTATAGTTCTGTGAAAAACACAAGCACACACACTTTCTTCATGGCACACTATTGAAGGCATATGGTAATTACACACAAGAGATATCAAAATGAATCAACTCACATCGGTACATGGACGGTGCGAGTGCTTCAAATAGAGTCAAGACAGTTTTGGGAATTTGATCTTCATGCAGATGTTTTCACATATTTACATCAATGAAATTTGATCCATTGCATAATGAGATACTTGAGACTTTATTTAAAAACACATGCTGTGAATGTGGAAGGACAATAATTTAGCTTTACCAGCATGTTAGTTGTCAAATTATTTTTGTCCTTTTTTGATTTAATATCTATATCTTTTGATTATTCTGTTATTTTTATTTTTTGTATCTCTCTGTTTCTATTTTTGTGTTTATGCAATCTACTCAATATTAGGTCATTTGTTTCCAGCCATTGTTTCAGGGATAATAAGATTGTATATATTGTTCTACTTATGAAATGCCTTGAAGTTGCTTAGTACTAAAGTTTAAGTTATTTAGTAAACTATCTAGGTTTTCAAACCTGTTCCCCAAAGATAAAAAACTATACTTAAAAATCAGCAGTGATGGTATGAGAGACTGTTTATCCAGTATTCATAAGCTTATTCCTTCTTTCTGTTGGAATGGCTTTACAGCAAAGCTATTTAATTATTTTTAATCTTTTTCATATTTTCAATGTCATTTTATTTCCTTCTGTCTTTCTATTTTCTTTGTACTTAAAACTGCTTAGAGTAGAAATAATCTCAATATTTAATACTACTTCAGCAATAAGAAGATTAGTTGACAAATTATTGCTGTTAAAAATAATTTGTAAGATCATCTTAAACATTAAAACTATGGTATTTTCCTCAATGACATAATCCTGTGCAGTCTATTCAAACCATTAATTCTGGCTAGACTATTTTCCCACCCTACCTCTGTTGGCCATGGCCGTCTCTATGATGTCCAGTGTCGGGTCGTCCTCACACAGGTCATAGGGCATGTTTCCGTCTGAATTCACTGCCAGAAGATCTGCACCACTGTAGGAAATGAGCAGATGAATATTTAAACCAATATATAATATTTATTTGCAAAAGATAATGTGTGGATTAAACACTAAAAATGTTTAATATATTAATGGAGGCTTCAGCTGTGATAAATGTGCTCCACAGATGAGTTAAAATATTCTGAAAGCTCATCGTCACACTGACCTAAAAAGTGGGAAAAGAAGTCATTTGATGACAAAAATGATATTAAATAACATCAACAATATAAATAAAACAGATATTTGCTCAGTACAGCTTTCTGTCTTTATAAACAGAAACAATGTGTGTGTGTGATTAGTTTACTCTCATTTCTCTGAGGTTACTTTTTATGCCTGTGCATATCTTGATATTATATCTTCATTAAGCTGTAATTAAAGCCTAATAAAAGCCATCTCATTAAATCCTGATTAAAGATGTCAACGTGTGAGACACACTATCCCGGCTATTCACGGTTAATTTAGCTGACGAAGACAGGAGCTTGTGTCAGCACTATTGGGTTATTAAAAGCATTTTCATAATAAAGATGGACGCCAAGACAATCAGTTCTTCTTTGTTCTTCTTTGACATGTCCAAAGACAGGGCAGAACTCATCATTATATATGTCGAATGCGTCCTTCTTTGTTTTTATAAATAGAAATCACACATTTCTGCCATGAATTGATCCTTTTCTCTTTGTTTTGGTCTCTTTTTTAATGAATATCCTATTTTTCATCACATTATTAAAGTGGGGTTGCATTTCTCTCCACTGCTACATGCATTACCATCCATTTTGTCGCTCCATGGTGCGCCAGTGTAATTTTGTTGACAGAAAATTGTCCTTTTTTCTACAAGGAAGTCAAGGGAAATGAATTCAGGCTTCAAAAAAATTTGCTTTTTTGTTATCCACAGCTGCATATAAACCTAAAAACACACCAGCTTAAAAATGTACCAGTGCAGATATTTTCTACATGGGCCTTGTGAATCCCGGCCTTCCCTTACAGCAATTATTGGTTCTTCAAGTTCAGCTTCAAACTGATTAAAAATCTCTTTGGATTTTCTCTTCCACTTGAAAATATAAAACTGCTAATGGGTGACACTAACCCAAAATGTTATTGAATTTATTGTGAAAACAATAAAAGTAATTATTAAAAAAACAAAAAAAAAAGCTTCAAAAAATCTGATCTAAAACAAAATTTAAATTGTGTGATTCTCTGCTGGATTTGAGCTCATCTCAGGTTCCTTTCCTGTATTTTACTGGTGTTTGATGGGCTTCTCCAGTTTGTAGGCTGTGCAGGAGAAGCCCTCCAACTGCAGAGATAGCCCAGTTAAATCACTTTGCACATTCAGCAGAAAATATCTGGCACTCATGTATGAAAACAGCTGAGCTCAATGCATCTATAATATGTGTTAAACATGTTGATGCTTTAACTTATTTGAAGTAATATTCATACTACATATTATTAAAGACTCAATTTCTGGTGTAGATAACATTTTATTCTTAAAAACTGCATAAGTAGGCTTTTCCCTGCTCATTATAATTTATAATTTGTTTATGTTTATGGTCTGAAAATTGTGAACTTTTTATTTTGATGCATTTGATGAATTTTGAAAAATATATTTTTTCAGCTTTGATCTGCCAAAGAATGGTCACAGCTAATCAAGAAAAAAGTGGCTCGTTTCGAACTCTGGCTGGTTTCTCTAATTACCAGTTAAGGCCTTGAGCATTGACTACATTGACTTCTTTATGACAATTTAAGTTTGCCACCATATCTAGCTTGGGGTTTTCATGTCTTCAGGGAGATGTTTGAGCTGTTCAAACGTAAATGCACTAACACTTATTCAGCTTTTTCAACACAATAAATTTAAACTATAACAATAAAGGTCCAACTTCAAGGATCAGCAGAGTCGTGCTTTTTTTTCTCTGACATTAGAAAAGAAACGTCTGTTAAACTGAGGTTTCAACATGACTCACTGTGCGACGAGTATTTTCACAAGTCCTGCATGGCCACAGGTCGCAGCAGCGTGCAGCGGCGTCCACAGTTCGTTGTCCTGAGCGTTAACGTTTGCTCCACGGTCCAACAGCAGCTTCACCATCTCTTCATAGTTGTCTATGCAACACTGTGAGGGGAAAAGGAGCGATGAATATTCCTGATGAATGTAAGAGCAGTTTTTTAAGAATTTAGCATGTCGGAATAAAATTTAGGGTTATGGAAAGTTACATTATTTTTCAACATTTATCATAACATTATTCCCTCTTGGATATTTCATATCAACATTGAGAGGCTGAAGAACAGCAGGAATGAGGAAATATATTTGAAGCTGAAAGCTGCTGTGCTTATCTGATGTGTTTTAGAGAAAAACTTTCACATCTGTGTGGCACAGATGAAGAGTGACTAAAAAAATAGTCACAAGACCTTTAGTGGGACATTGCTGGGTGGAAAACTGAGAACACACTAAGCCAAACTGGAGACACTATTCCTACACATCAGCCATTGTGTGGGCTGCTTCCTGGATCCCAGACAAAACTGGAAAAGCACCCAGAACTCACACCCATCCACAGAAACAGACAGACAAAGGCATGGAGGGGGAGGAAGCCTTGTTAAGCTGGGTGTGAGTGAGAGGCTGGGAGGAGATGTTTCCATGAAAACTGTCAGACAAACTGTTGTTTTCTTCTACATCGGAGCCAGTTGATGTGAGTGTGGCTCAGTCAAGCCACCGAGCAAAGACTGAGATAGAAAAACAAGAAAATAAGAGACTGCAAAAAGCAGCAGTGGAGGATGAGATTACTGTGTCACCGAAGGGCAGAGCTAGATATGATATGAGCACTCAGGTTCAAAATAAAAACCTTTCTAGAGGTCTCTGTTGTCATCATCGTAACATCTTCAGTCAACCCGCCCGATGTGATCTCCCTACGCTCTGTGCTAAGATGAAGTAAGACATTTGTCACAATAAAGTGCTGACAATCCTGTTATAAACCATGAATAATTTCACTGAAGATTGATACAGAACTGAGAATGGAAAAAAAAAGGAAAACAAAATACTGACAACTCCTCACAGTACAAACGCACCCATGAACGAGAAAACATAGTTACACTAAAGTAAATGGTGACAGACTCCTTTCTTCTTGATTATTTTGTTTTTTTTAAACATGTATAAACGTTGGATAAGATGTGGCAGAAATATTTTAGTTAATAAACGTATAACTTTCTTTTTTAATCTAATAGGTAAGGAAGGCCCCTCAGTCATATCTAGAGAGTGGCAGGTAGCAGCAAAAGATAGAGCTCAGATTTTCTCTGTAAAACAGCAAAGAATAACCCTATGTATCGTTTAAGTTGTATTGTTCTATCACATAAAATCACAACAAAATACATTAAATTATTTAGTGTGAAGATGTTCAAGAGATAGACAATATCTATATTAATGAGTTACAATATTTAATATCTTTTTTGGATTAATAAACTATTTTTGAATTTGAATTTACATCTTGGCTGTAAACTAAAGAATAAATTTGTAATTTTATCAAGATAAAGATGTGCAACAGTTTGTTTTTTTTTTCCCCTTAAAGACAGATGGTGAAAGGAGCAGACATGAAAACTAATATGATCATTAATCTATTCAATATCTATAAATGGCCCTCAGTTGTTCTGAGCAGCATTTCACACGCTCGTCATAAAAGTTCTTTGGTGCAGAGAGCGGATGCTTCCTTTCACAAGGTTTATACACAGAAGATGAGCTGTGGTGCAATCTCCAGAGGTTTGTCATGTCTGAGAAGTGGTAACACAATAGAACATAAAAAACACAAAAGAGGAACAAAGATAATAAAAAAAAAAAAGCAGACACAGATAGACACATGAATGTCACCCGGGAGAATGCATAGAACCAGCTTGTATTATGAGTCAGATATAAAAGATTCAAAAGGGATGTTTGTCTCAGACCATTTCTTTCTGCTCCAGAAAAAATAACCTCTTTTCAGGGCAACTTTTGCTGCACCTGTGACCTCTGCTGCCCTTGCTCATATAAAACTGTGTCCACCTAAAACAGCACTCAGCAGGAATGGTGCTATGCTCATTCAATTCTACTCGCACAGAACATTTATTATTTGAAGATGTGGTGGGAGACAAACACATTCAACACATGCAAAGGAATGAAATGACTGAGAGAAAAGAGACATGACACACGACTGACTGACATATTTCCTCTAAGCAACACATTTCCTCGGGTGTCGATGTAAATAACGACTTAAGAGTTTCTATTTTAACCCCTGAAACTGCAAAAAAGCCATATCAAAACAAAAGTCTGACAGATGCTGAACTGTCTGAGAGGAACCATGACGGCTTCATTAGAGGTCTGTGTTGAAAATGCACATTTCAACATAAACTTTACTTACAAGATTCTCCACATTCAAGATCTCCATTAATGTTCTTAGTGGTCTCTGCTTATAGAAAAAAACTCAATCATATCCTGTCTGAAATCAGTTTCCTCTGCAGTGTTTTTTTGTTAGCATTTTTTTTAAATAGTCATGTTAAAAAAAGGAAAACTGAGAAAAATAAAAACAGTTCATCATTCTTCTACAGCAAATGTTGTCATTTCAAGTCTTTTTGAAATGCTGAGCATTGTCACTCAACTTTTCTCAGCAATGAAAATCCAGACTTCTACTCAGTTATATGACATTATTTACTGAATATTCTGAGATCAGCATGATAAAAATAAAAAAAAGAGCAGGAAGACCGCATGTGTGTGCATTCAGAAGCAGAACTGGTGGTTTAAATACGTTGACTGCTTCCTGTGTTCATGGTGGAAAGAAAAAAAGGTTCAAAGAAGAAGAGAATGAGTCAAGCATTTCCTTATTTCAGCATTTTAGTGTGGTTGTCTGATGTTGTTTAACTGGCAATTTCATAAATTCGTAACAAGCAATAGTGTTGGAAAATACTACATGATCATACTCTGATCCTGTAGTATTCTCAGCATATTCTCAATTTTAAAACATAATACAACCTGAAAACCATCACAAAAATAGAAGAACAAGCCTTCTAACAAGAACCGCAGAAAAAACAAATGTTTTCAACGCCCCCTGAGTCCAGCCTACAGCTTTTGCATGAAAGATATTATCAACAGCAACCTAGAAATTATCAACCCACTTGCCAGTTAAAAATCTAGGTTAATCTCTTTTTGAGAAAAAAAAAAAAAAAGTAAAGCCTGGCCCACCTGCTTGCTAAATGCTAAGATGTTTGCTTAGTTTTTCTACAAAAAGAAAAAAAGGACTTCAATCTAGAAACTTGCAAAAAAAAAAAAAAAAAAACAGGGAAAGAAATAATCTGCAATGCATTTAAAGTACTGACAAAGGGATGGAAGTGTGGTCCAAACAAAAACTCAGATTATCCCAGTGTGGCTGGAAAACAGCAGCAGCAATCTTGGCGGGAGTCGTGAGTGGGCAGAGAGGACTGCAAGGAGCAGGCTGACGAGGAAACAAGGCTGACACTTGGAGTTTTAAATGACTAAAATTGGTTTGAGGCCACAGCCGAGATGGCTGAAGGCAACAAAGACCGCACTAAAGCTGAAATAGTGATGCTTTAAGAGGCACAGGGCCAGGTGAGAAAGCTTACAGCCCGGACTGAAATGAGCTTAAATGGGCTTTAAATTTTACCAGCGTTTAACAAACGAGTGCAAATCACTATGAGTGATGGGAATCTAAGGTTCGGCTGCTGGCAGAGAAGACATAAGAAGGTTAGATTGTTAAATTGAACATTGACAAGCAGCTGAAACACCAGAGGAACAGTTTACCTGAACTCAAGGGCAATTTGAGCCACGCTGCAATGTTATCCGTCTGCCAGGGAAGAAAAAGTGCCTTTCTAAAGAATGAAGGCACAGATTTACAGTGCCTTTTGTGAGTCATACTCTTTCTATGTGAACAATTTCAATATGAACATAAATGTTGCCGTATTTTGTGAGATTTTATGCTACACACCAAAACAATATTTTGCAAAAGTGCAGAAGATTTTAAAAATTTAAAGAAAATAAAGTCTGAAAAGTGTGAAAGTGCATTGCTATTCAGCAGCCTAAACTCTGATCCCCTTTTAAGTCACATAGTCAAACTGCCTTCAAGATAACAGTTGTACTTGAATATGAAAGTGTTTGTTCCGCTTTTCATATTTTCACTTGTAAAATAAAAATGAAGCCCATAATTTCCTATTCATTAGAGTCATGCAATAATTTTCTCTACTGTTTTATATGAAAGGGGTCGTAAGTCAAGACTTAAGAAGATGATGCTGCAAAGCTTGTGGTTCCTCAAATGTTGAAGTAATGCAGAGCAGAATTACTGATGAAAAGACCAAATCAACACAGGAATGCAGAGGGAAAACTTCACAGCACTATATGCTCAAACTCTGCAGATGATCCATTACAGCCTGTGGAGTCTGTCATGTCTGCAGAAATATCTCAGCACTAAAATTGCTTCAAACATGGCTGCAACAGTGATGTTCTGGGTCACCATGCACACACAGCCACACTGTGGTCACACACACACACACACACACACAACACACACACAACACACAACACACACACACACACACAACACACCACCCACACACAACACCACATACACACACACACACACACACACACACACACACACACACACACACACACACACACACCCACACACACACACACACATACACACACACACACACACACACACACACACACACACAACAAAATACAAGAGATTACAGCCGCATAACAGCCGGGTCGTTAAAATGTAGGACAACATGAGGCAGGTGAATTTAGGAGCAGGAACTGATGAAAGAAAACTACTGCTCCTGAATTAAATTTTCATGTTTACTCAGATTATCCTTCTGATTTAAAAAGTGAAACATATCACAAATTAATCCAGCACTGAACAGGACTGCATTAAACTCAACTTATTTGGACTGTTTTCTTATCTTTTTAGAATAACCAAACTGTTTCACTTGTCCATTAAATGAACTTGTATTTTTACCTGTGTATTATTTTGACAGATAAAAGCAAATCAGCCATTTACTTAAGTCTGGGCATGAGATGTGTTGGAATGACCCCAAACAGACAGTTCATGCATAAAACACTCCAGCATGGATGAAACCTGTAATTAGTTAAAATAATTCTGCAAAGACCATGTGGGCCAAAACGTAAAAAAGGAAAACAAATCATCTCAAACACCTTTCAGGTGTTGCTGCTTCTCAGTTTGGCCTATTAAGTTTAATGGTCTATTACTCTTTCACAAAGAACTAGGTTGATATGGATTGTTTTCTTCTGTCATAAATTAAATCAACATCTGAAAACTGCATTTTGTTATTTCTCATGGTAATTTTGTGCGACATTAAAATGTCAAACCGTTTTTGCCTTTTCAAACTCAAATCACACAATAAACCCTTTTAAAAAATGTATCTATTTATTCAAGTTCATTATATCAACATAGACAAACTGAACAAAACAGCAGTCCCATGGTTGCGTTGTAGTGCAATAGCAACAGCTAATTCACAGCACTTGTCCCTAGACGGACTTTCAAAAAGTACCTCTAAAAGCTGAAGTGATAATCATTTAAAATAGCACAACATAATGTTGACAACATCTACAAACAAAGTGAAACATAAAACATCAAAAATGGATACAGATCTGTTTTTGACATAAGCAGAGTTTTGTTTGTTTTTTGAGCGTACTAAAACTGGTTACGGACTTCAAATCAACAGGAAGTGAGTACCAAACTGTAGATCCTGTCACAGACGGAGCACTTTGAGCAAAAGGTGTTCTTCGAAAAGCGACTTTACAATTTCCATCTGCAGCCGCTTTAGTAGGTTTGCTATTGTCCTGCAGTCTCTGTATGCAATCGCTTAATGGTGGAGGCGCAAATCCATTTAAACACTTAAAAATCTATTTTAAAAGATCACAATTTATAAAATTAGGAAGGCCCAAAATGCCAAATTTGGCCAAATTATGACAATGATGGAATCTGATTGGATTTTGATATAAGTTTAGTTTGACTAGTCTGAGACCAAACAGCAGCTCCAAAGGAAAAATGTGAGAGGATCATTGAGTTCAAAAACATCTCTGCACAGTGAAGTGTAAGCAATTTCTAATCATTTTTATAACAGTTTCTATAGAATGGAGTTAGAGTGAAAAGGAACCATAAACCGGGACATGAATACTAATTTTGGGGCTTGGTCTTGAATGTACGTCCTGGTTGACTTCCAGCAGCATCAATCCTGCTCTGCTGGTGTCTTTTAAAATAACCATGACACAAATAATCCATCACATTATTTTGACCGGAGAGGCATTCATGTGGCTTCAGACACAGCGGAAACCATGCTTTTATTTCTGATTGTATATTGTGTGTGTGTGTGTTGTGATACATGCTGTGACCCTGGAAGCCATTTTTTGTTATTAATGTCTCATATCAGAGAGGTGAAAGCAGGCCTGGATAGATATGACAAACCATCTACAGAAACAGATCCTGCACTTTCTTCATTTATGTCACCTTTCATTTGTGATCACACTATTATTCATGTTCTGGGACCCAAAGCTGTTCACACAAGAAGATTGTGAAAGGTTTTCTTTATGGATATGTGCTGAAACTTCAGGAAATGACTCCAAACGTCCTTTGCATTTGGTGCTCTCTGGACAATATATGTGTGGCAGTTACTGTGAAATTTATGCTCTAAAAGGGTCAAATCTTGAACCCAGTGTGGAGTCAAGCCCATCCAAACAGCGTATAATCAGGAACATTGGAAGCTGAAAGGTCATTCCGATCTCTTGGCCGTGTTTAAAACAGCAGCCTCACCAGTGGTGACTGATGGACTTCAATTTTCTCTTCCGCTGTTCATTTCACTGCCTCCCAGCTGGAGTGTGAATATTAGGCTTTGCACAGCCAGAGGGGAAAAGAGATATGACTGCGCTAGCTCAGGCAGAGAGAAACGGATGAAACCAAATGAGAAGAGAGGGATGGAGGAGGGATAGAAAGCAATCAACATTTCTCCTTCAGAGATCTTCAAGATAAAGAACCATTCCTGTGAAAGTCAGGCACTCTATTAAAAATAAAGCTAAATCCATCTAGCATTTAGATCTCTACTTCAAGCCTCACCGGTATTTGACATTTTAGCCTAAGTGGAACAAACAGAACGGTTCCCCCCGTAATAGAAGCATCTTCATGCACATCCAGCAGCTTCACAGGAAATAAAGTGTTTTTTCCAGCTGCTGCATTTTGAGGAATTGGCCCGGATGCTGTGTAATAGCTTTTCCCAGACCAGAGCCATTTTTTCAGCTTTCAGATGGAAACGTAAATGTTTGTTTCCTGACTGAAGCATTAATTCAGAAGAGATGGAAGCTCTGATTGTAATACCAGTAATGATTTTAATTAGCCTGAAATATGGGCCTGATGTCCTTCATCGAAATGAACTAATTTTCTCAATAATTAACTGACTTCCTCAGAATTAAAAATTATTTTTCAGGAACAGAAACCCTGAACGCTTTTTTTTTTTTACATGAAACCATCCATTTTACTTTAATATCAATGCCTTAAAACTTGTGTTGCGTTTATATGTTCAAAGCAGCAAAAGGTTTTGATGGGTTAAGTAAGGTGGTAACCTCGTTTGTTCCTGCAGAGTTTAAAATATTATGGATCTTTACCTCTATTCACTGGGGCAAAACATGATTTGATAAGAGTTCATATTTGACCTCAGCATGAACAATTCAAGGTTCTTTCAATACTGAGAAAAACCATTCCACTATGATTTAAATGGTGTGAATTTAGGGTTCTTTTGGGCTAAAGACAAGCACCCCAAAGCATTTTAAGTAACTACAAATATAAATCTGTATCTATGCTTTGTTTTATTGTGGGTTTTTCATATTCATCGAGACTCCAAAATCTGTTTCAAAAGGAGAAAAACATGTTGGAACAGATGGACACAGCTGATCTTACCTGATGCAGAGCAGTGAGACCGTCTTCGTTACAGAGATCTGGACTCACATTGTTCCTCAGCAGGTAGCGAACTGATGGAAAAAAAGAGAAACAGAAATAAATACTAAGAAATATTCTGACTGGCCTCCACTTAACCTATTATTACCTGCAGCATCATCGATAAATCTGTATCATCTATTATTCATAGCTCAGCACCGTGATTTATCTGCATCGCCTAATTATGCCCCCTGTCAAGATGTTTCCAATCTAAGCTCAGAAGTATAAATGAAACTGTGAGGTAAAGGGGAGGACTGGTGAGGTAGTGTGATGATCAAAGCATAAGAGTGTCTGTCTGACTCCCAATCCGGCAGATAAAATCGTCAAACTGGATCCCAATTTCAAAAACACACAGCGTGTCAATCTGCACACATGACGGATAAAGAGTCTCATCTGTTTCCATTTCACACACACTCAAATAAAAACAGTTTGAACCAAGTCATATAAAGGATATGAGCTAAAGTGACACAGAAAACAACCAAAATAATAAACTCAAGAGGGTGTTATTTCTAAGGTCACCATAAGCACATTGTCATTTTGCTTGCCTTTTCAGTTGAACTGAATATATTTTCAAGTCAGATTAACATATGAAGACAGGACTGATTTGCGTTTCCTGCAGAAAACCACATATTCAATCTGAAATGACTCACAGAGGAGAAACCCTGGGCAGAGGAAACAGTACTGGTTGTTTAGAGTTGCTGGATGAAGGTTAATCAGTGAAACCAACAGATGACAGTACAATTTCCAATTTCCTTGTCTGTATTTATGTAGAACACTTTTTGCAGAGATAGAAGGATCAAAAAGCACAGAAACCCTTAAAACAACAAATGAAATTGACCTCTGACATTCATTCTGGCAAAAAATCCCCACAATAATAGCAAATTAAGGTCTCAGTAAACTAATCAAAATATATATATATATTTTGACCCCTGATGAAGGAACCGAGACCCACTTTTGAGTAGTCGTCGTTTCACTCCGGACCAAACAAGCGGATCGAAAGACTTTCCTGGTGTGAAACTCTTTAAATTTTACCTGGCTTATTAGCTGATAACCAGCACAGAAATCCTGATTAACAAGGTCAGGTTGGCAAAAAATTCTGTGTAATAAACCAGCTTCCTTAAAAACTAACTCTGCACAAGGGTTTATTATTACAAGAATAAAATCAGTAATGTTTCTTTATTTTCGTAATACGAGCAATATTCCTTACTTGTATGTTTTAACTTAGATACTTCCTCCATTTATTGTTTTTGTAAATTAAATAAAACCATTGTATTGCCCTGCGAAGGATTGTTGACCTGTCTGCAGACTCTGCCTCTTGCTTATTGTCTGCAGACTCTGCCTCTTGCTTATTGTTTGCTGGCTAAAGGCATCAGCGTGTTGGAAATGGATGACTAGATGAAAATTAAACACTTCAAAACACTTTAAACCCCCTGATGAGACCAGATGATTTATACAGAAAAACTAAAACTCATTTTCTCTTCCTTATTGTAAATTTGACAAATTCACTGGGTTCTTTTCACTTGAAAAATTCTCACAGGGAGCCTTTTTCATACAGTCAATATGAAAATTAAATTAGTTACAGTTTATTTTCCAACACTTTCATAGATTCCTTGATTTCTAATGATTCTTTGGTTCGTCTTCTCTTTCATTACACTTGTCATTTCAGAAATTCTTATTGAATACAAACAATAACCCAGGAACACTGCACTTTCTTTAAGCCACTTAATATATTGCTATATTGACTGTGAAATTTGGCTTTTGTGTGTTATGGTGTAAAATTGTTTTCCTTTTACATCGTTGCTCTTTTGTGCTAAGAAACGGTACGAAATGCATGTAGTTTTTTGGCAGATCTCAATTGATTTTCAATCAACTTACAGAGACAAATAAATGGGAAATAAAAAAAAAACATGGATTCGTCTTCCTATAATCAGTAACAATAAAAAAATAAAAAATAAATAAAGTTCCATAAGTTTGAAAATGTGTTATTTAAGCTCACAGTAGAAACAATCTTGTCTTTCCTCTCTTTGATCTCCTCTCCAAGGACCTTTCATTAAGAAGAACTTTGAAAAAGCCCAGAAAAGTCTCTTTCATAGGTTTAAATAAATAATAGCATGGACAAAAACTATGCACTGATAAGTCTGACTTAGGACTTGATTCTTATGCAGTAAAGCTGAAAGATAAAATGAGCAGCTATGATCAACTAGAGGCTTTCAGAGGACAGGCTGAATCCTGCGTCCGCTAGATCTTGATTAGGCTTTTTTCACACTTTACTGTCAAAGTTCTCTTACTGCAATTTTTTTTTTTTTTCATTTTGTTTGAACATCTCCAGCTTATTTCTACTACAACTCGCACAGCAGCTCAGCAGCAATCAGTCGTCTTTAAAATCTGAGGCCAAACCAAATGAGCTGCTGCAGCAGCTATTGGTGGCTACATGCACTTCCTTCAGAGTCAAGGAGTCAACAGCGAACTATTACTGAAATGGGCTCAAGGTTCTGGAGTGAGTGATCAGTCTGGCAGCATCGGGTAAGTGTCACACATCATCTCTGCAGTGCTGTTTTTATAAGTGTACAAATCTCAGGGGAGCTGCCAACATTGCCTCTGCAGCTGACATCTCCACATACCCAGAGATCTATTGCCATCAAGTTTGTTTTTCTTAAAGGCCCTAATTACCTCAAAGAAAATAAGACTGCATTTAAATTTCAGGCTAAGCTGACATGCATGTGAACTCTCTTCGACATACATGACAAAATGTATGCAAATTTATCTTGCTTGTTGAAATGACTTATTGTGTGTGTGTGCAGTATGTTCATTAAATATTTCCACTTGTGTTGAATGGGAGACTGATCAAACATTTACCCATGCTCTCACCTACTGACCGCTGCTAATGAGAGACGAAATGAGATTTGATTCGTTAATGCTTGTACAAATCTTTGTGTAGACAACACCACATGTTGCCACATACAGAAATGAACATTGGCCACACAGTTTTATTAATGAATAAACTGACTTGTGAACAGAACAAGATAAAAAGTTGAGATGAAACACAAAGACAGCATTTCTTTTAAAAACCGGGGTTTCTTCATAATAAATAATAAAGTCTCTCTTTTTCTACATCGTTAACAAGCTGATCACACATTTACTTTAGCATAAATCCTTGTTATCACAGAATAGCAGTTCAATGCAGTTCTCCTGTTGTCCCTCTACTGACATGCCCTTGAGCAAAATCCTTAACTTCTGATAGCTGCTGAGCACTCTGCGAGGCAGCATCTCCTATTAAAAGTTGTTTGTCTAGGCATTTTACTGAGGCAAAATGAAACTGTGCTTGTACGAATTTATTATTTACTGCGTTCACGAGTTACAGTCTGTGTATCGAATCCAAATCTGTCACTAGAGGATTTCAGGAGCACATCAAAAGTTTCTTTGTTCCTCTCTTACAGCATTTCCTGTTCATACACAGTTTAGCTGATCATAGACTGGATTAAGGCAGACACAAATTAATTCAGAGCCAATTTTCTGACTAATTTCAGATACTTCATCGTTTACCATAACTGGTAGCGAAAAAGGCAGAGTATTCAAACAAACTAAATTTGTCCCATGGACGGGATACCGTCAGTTAAGGGGTTAATGTTTTGCACATTGAGATGTCAGTGTTGCAGGAAGAAGAAGGCTTAAATCCCAGCTGGTGTGGAATTTACATGTTCTCCCTTCTGCATGCTGTAGACCTGTTTTCTCCCGCACTGCAGTGACATGTATGTTACAAAGGTATTTACAGAACTTCAGCTTTTTAATATTTTGTTATGTAACAACCATTTTCCCCACAGCAGAGTCACACAATTCTGCAAACAATACCCTGTAATGACAGATTGAAAATAAATGTTTCAAGAAACTTCTGTGATATTACAAATAACAAAAAGAGAACAAAAATGTTATGGAAAAAAAAAAACTGGGCAAAAACATCTTAAAAATGTTTTTATTTTAATTCAGCTGTATTTATATCCACATTTTGTGGATATAAACAGTTACTTAAAGTTATCACAAATTGCACAGAAATGGAAATGTGTGTTTAGGAGTAGATTTGTCACAGCCTGACCAACCTGGTGATGATCACAGTGGCCTATAAACACTTTTGTTTCTTAAGTTGGAATTTTAAAATGTCAGTAGTCGGTATTTTATGGCTGTGCCTTCAGCATGTACATTTTACAATATATTATACTTTATTAGTAAATGTTTTTGCTTGTATGCTTTCACTTGTAGGAATTTCCCACTTTTTATTCATAGGGTTTTAGCTTCTGGGCTACTAAGTGTTGCAGTGGTTTAATGACCATTTTTGACCGTTCTATGCAAAAATCATTTGTGAGGTCAGACACTGATGTTGGAAGAGACGGCCCATGTCATATATACATTGGTAAGCAGAAACAGTAAGTGTTCCTTTCACTTAAGCTGGAATGAAACCTGAATCCTGATGTGATTTCCTCTGCACTGAACTTTTCAGTTTACAAAATGTACCCAGACAAATGTTCTTTTCCTTGCAGCTGCAAATCCCAGACATATCGTCTGGGTCACCAGACAGCGAATATGTCTACATGGTCCGTGAGTATAGTGGCAGAGTGCTTTGCACCACTGCACATGATTATTTCCATTGTACTTGGTATAGTTTCATTTTCCTCAGCTAATCTGAAGGCAACATTAAATTTGGACACCTATATCTATGGAACGTTGCAAACTTCTACACACTTTGAACAGATCTCACTTACTTTACGTTATTTTATGTTGATGTTGAGTTGCTGTCCTTCCAAAATGCTTCCACTTGGTTATAATCTCACCAACAGTTTGCTATCGATTGTTTAATTGCATTTTCTAACTGGACCTTTTTCAAAAATGAAGTCCTATTACAGCATAACGCTGAGATTCACCGAGCTCCTCAGAGTGACGCTTTCACAAATGTTCGCAGAAGCAGTCTGGATTTTATGCACCTATGGCCAGAGAAATGAGTAGTACACTTCAACCCAGTGATTTAAACTGGCGGAGGATTTGT